CATAGATAGCAGTGGTTCTGTCCTTGTAGATAGCAGACAAGAACAGGGGCAGAAAGTAACTTGAGAAGTATAGCTCATTTAGGTATGCCTGCATCATCACATGAATATGTATGTATACATATGTGTTCTTTTCTCTCCCCTTTCTTGTAGAACTGTATAAATATCAGGCCATCCATTTTGCCTATGGAGAGAGTCTCCCACTAACCTTTGGTGGGGTCCCCCTCCAGTACGTACTGTCCTAATAAACACTGCAGTGAAGCCTTGACTATTTTGCACTTGTGTCCTGAGTTTTGATTCCACACATAATTCTGTGATCCTCTGAATGATTCCTGCCTTACCTGATGAATCTGGCAGTTGTTGAGCTTCAACATCTGCAAGTGAAGAAGGACTGGAATTAGTGAAATATAGATGATAAATATGGATCAATTACAAAGCATGAGTTTTAAAATAGGTAAATGCATGGGTGTATAAATTCTATGGATGTCTATATTTACTATGTATACTACATTTCTTCTCTAATAATTCCTATGAACTTCTATAAACTTCTTTTCCTCTTTCCCTCTTTTCTTCTATAGGTAGGCTTGAATGGCTCATAACTGTGAAAATTACCAGGATTAGCTAACCATGCCCTTGCCCTCTCTCCCACCTCTGGGTTGCAGAACTGCTCTTGGAAGGAGGAGAACCACCAGTAAACCATTCCCCTTACTGCTAACACACTAAGCCATTCCAGAAGGATATCATGATCAATGGTATCAAAGGCCATCCAGAGATCAAGGAGGGCTAGGATGGATATACTCCCCATGTCCTGATCCTGTCAGAGGCCATCCATAAATGCTATCAAGACCATCTGTGATGGACTGGAATGGAGGAAGGGGGGTGAAAACGGTGCTCTCGTCTCCAGAGCGATGTCAGGCCTAGCCCAAGGAACTCCTGGAGACCATGTAGGTTCAATCAGCAAGGTTTATTAGCTAGCGCTTATTTACAGAATCTTTTCAGACTGACCAGTAGTTCCCAGGCACAACTCTCTACT